TTGATATTGGGGAGGCCCACGGAAGTTGGCGCAGATTTTGGGGTTTTCCTTTTTACGGATTGGACTGAGCACTCTTAAATTCCAATAGTTGGGCCTGCTTTCGTAAGACCATATTTTACACAGAAGCTGATGCCTGCTCCTTATCAGTTCTTTGATGCCGTGTTTGAATAGCTTGGCCGGCAATCCATAGGCCCACGCCGCTTTGTTGTTATCCAAACGGTTAATTACTATTCGAACTTCTTCTTAGTCGGGCTTGTCAATCTCTTCATACTCATTCATTTCGGTCTCGGCATCTATCCCATCCCGCACGTGTTGTGCCTACAAAGTAGGCGGTTCTTTTGGCTTTTCCGAATAGTTTGCTGATGAGTGCTCTCAGAGAGCAGGAGTGGAAGTCGAGTAGAAACTGGTTAGACTGTCTCCTATTGTTGCAGCTTCTCGACGTCGAACTTTCCTTGTGTTTGTTGAGGTTTTTCCACAGAGCCGGGTGCGTATACTGGTTTCAGCAAGATAATGATCCGAGTCAAAGTTCTACAGATAACCATATTTCGGGCCCCGATGAAGTCGATCAGCCTTAACATATTTGCGGACGTTTCATAATGGAGCCTGTATTTACCGACTGTCGCACCAAAAATACCTTCTTTGTCTACTTTGGCGTTAAAGTCGCCAAGCACGATCTCGATATCGTGGAGGGGGCAACTCTCACTACTGCTCTTCAAGCGCTTGTAGAAGATATCTTTGATCAAATCGTCATTCTCTTTCGTCGGGGCGTGGGCGCAAATGAGCGATATGTTGAAGAACTGCGCTTTAATGAGGATTGCGGCTAGACGTTCATCCACCTAGTTGAATACCAGGACTGGACGTGGAGAAACCATCACGAATCCTACGCCGAATTTTCACTCCTTTATATAACCACTGTAGTAAATGCCACAAGAACCTACTCTCCCCAGTAATTGTACCGTCCACCGCTTTTCTTGGACGGCGGTGATGCCACCATTTAATCCCAGAGGATACTAGATCTAAGATCGGAAGTCGTGAGCTGCTTGAGCCWTATGTAAAAGAATCATTTCTGGCCACTCCCAAGTGTATGGCGGTCAGAGAACTAGCCTCAGAGGCATGAACTTTTAAACATGATTTCATGCGCCTACCTGGCATAGATGCAGATTTACGAATTTCAAATGAAAAATTTGCAAAATGTAAGTTATGAACGTTCCCAAATATAGTAGAATGGAACTTGTAACATAAAATTGTCCTATTTTTGTCTGAAAATTGCTTGTTTCAACGACTGTTTTCCATCTAAAAGGAGACTATTTTGGCGCGCTACTTCCATCTGTAACGGTTTATGTCCATAATTGCACTGAGTTGAGGTTCCAGAAATATCTTCAAATAACTCCAAAGGCTAGAAAATGTAAAAAGTGTTAAGGTTCAATAGTTGACGCACCCTGTAGAGGTGCTCAAATTATATTTTCCACACAGCTCTTTAATGCAACACAAAGACTTTAAAATATTTATGTAAATCTTTAATGCAAGAAATATGGAGAGCTTCAATTTAGCAATATTTGAAAATTATTTTAAATTATTTTCATTTCAAGCTTTGTGAACTCTTGTCAACCTTTGTGTGAGAGAGCTTTTCAAAGTAACAAGTTGTCATTGAAAATTGAGCTTTATTGTGCACTGGACTCTGAAGCGCCATTAGCTTTAATTGAAATGCTGCTGCTGATGATGATGCTATCATAACATCGGCAACATTTTTTTCTAACACACGACTCAAATAGAACTCTTTAATCCACAATGGCGACTTTGTCGTTGTTAGTGTCGTTTATGAGTGTGTAAACACTTTCATTGCCGCATTCAATGTCAGTTCACAGAAATTATAAAATATTAATTTCGCTTTGATTTTGGAACGACAGCACAACAAAAACAATTTGCAGCACAAAAGCGAAAAAATTCACAAAACTGGATTATTTAAATTGCAAACTCATGTGCAAAACTCACAAGCACACACACGCACACATGCACACACGAACGCGCACGGGCACGACAGACAATGAAATGAAGCGGATTTTTTATTGGCTTTGCACTATGAATTACATGCAGTTGAATTTTCACAAAATCTGTGCAAATATTTGGTTTCACAATCGACTCCATTTGCATCAACAAAGCAGAATTGCACAAACAAAGAATGCAAATTTCGCTGCAAAATACGCCATGCATGCGCCCGTGTGTGTGTTTGGCCAGTGTTGGCGCGGCGCGCGTCACTCGTATACCACGGTGTCACTCAGCGCGCGTCTGCATGGCATTAAAGCGCTAACGCCGGTGGCACGAGCCACCATAGCAAATCGAGTTTAAAGTTTCACATCACTTATTTACATGCAAATATTTAATAATTAATGAAATAATAAATGATTTCCGAAAAAACACGAACACACTTTTTTGGCGCGCTGCTTGTCAACAAATTTTTTACGAAAATTGTTTTTAATCAATTCGAAAAAATTCTTAGTTTTTATGCGCGTTTTTTATCGGCGAGGTCAACTGGCACTCACGGTGACACTTCGAAGCTTTTTATTGCGTAAGCTTTAAGCTATTACATTACGAGCGCCCTGTTAAAAACTGCCATAAATTATATTTAACGCGGTAAACATGACAAATTACACACACAGACTTGTTAACACCAAAAAAAAAAAAAAAAAAAAACAACAAATACTTGTAAAAATAATTTCGGCATTAAAGTTAAGCTGCACTGCAGCGCTGCCAACGCCAGGTACCTTCTGTTCGCCTTCACAAGTGGGACACCAACACATACACAGATGTACTTGTGACTACTTTCGCTTTTCGCCAACCGCCGGCAATATCGCTAGCAATCACAGCCGGCAAAATTGCACAAATAAATAATGCTCACACACACACACGCGCACACATGCAAATTTTGTCATTAAAAGCGTTGAAAGGCACGAGTGCTGAAATGAGTTTTGTAAATTAATAAAAAATAAAATAAAAAAATAGCGCAATATTTATTTCTTACTTTATCGCCATGTGACAGAAATGCTCGTCGGTTATTGTAATTGGCTTTTGCCGAAGTCGCTTTCGCGTTCGGATTTATTATTAACATTTTTTCCTCATTTCATTTAAATTTTTATGAAGTGCATTCATGAACTCTGCGCACAACACTGTACTTCATTAATGATCATGTTGACATTCTTGTGTGTGAATGAAGTGCAGCAGGGAAAGCGCGGCGTTCATTTTAAATGGATTTCTTTACTGTGACTGTGTGCAGCAAGTCATGGCTTTATTATTCCTTGTGCCTTGTGGGAAGTCCGCTTTTTTGTAATAAGTTTGTAATAAGAGAAGAAGATGAAGGAAATTGCGGATACAAATATCTCAATGTTTTCCAGTTGAAGTTTATTAATTCGACCTATTAGGGTGATCCAAAAGTTAACATAACGAGTATATGGGTTAAAATAATCAATATAGAGAGAAAACCAGGAAAATTGTTAACTTCAGTTGCTATTATACCCTTCACAAATAAACAAATTTTGACGGTATGTAGTTTTTATGGCTGCTATGTATTGGCTATAATGGTGTGGTCTGAAGAATTTCTCCGGCCGTTATGGTGATGGCTTTGAAAGTATATAGTGTCAAATTGTAGTTATTTTCTCAAACAAAAATATTCTTACAAAAAGTGTTCAGTTTGTAAGACAGTTATGCTAACATACTTTTTACTGGTTCATCTAATCAGCTCAACATTTATATATTGGGTAGTCGAAAAAGTCTTTTGGTATTTCTAATAAAAATTCAAATTCTGGCCGTTTTTTTTATTGTTTGCTTCAATCTCATCAGATCAGAATCGCAGATGTTAATTCGGTTCATTAAATTTTTCACGGACAATTCAAGGGGTACCCAAAAATCGAGCTTCTTTTTGTAGCCAGCCTTTTTTAAATGGATCAAAATTGTTTGATGACGAATGCTAAGTACCTTAGCGATTATGTAAGCTGTACCTTTCTTTCTCACCTTTCCAACTGTATATGACACAATGTGATAGGTACCACTTGAGATATTATATAAGACTGCAACGACGTATATTGACAAAAAATTTACAAAATACGAAAAGACTTCCTCGACTAACAAAATGTATTTTATAGCGTAATACAAATGAGGAAAACTCATGAAACCCTGATCAGAGTATAAAAAAAAGTTCCTAAAAAACTACTAAGCTCGGGTTAAAAGTCAAGCTGTTTTCGGATATTTGTGCTTTACAAGAGCCCTCGATGTAAAATATGTTATGATAAACGGCTCGAAAATTGCGACAGTTTTAAGGAAAAGGATTTTTTAGATGCTATTTGTATGAAAACATTTTACTGGTGACCAAAAACTTTTATTACTAAGCCATGAAAAATAGGTTCTTCCAAAGCTCTACGAAAATGTCTCTATTATCAGCTCTTAATTTGGAAAAGTCATTCAAGCATTCAATTTCTTACAAAGGCTATGAAGCGATATATGTATGTACATATTTTTTGAGGTATATGAGGTTTGAGGCGAAATATTATGCGATAATAAGAAACAAATCGAACACTGTAAGCCAGAGCACCTTTCCGTTATAATTAAGAGCTTGGAGATATTTTTGTAATGGTGTTAAAGAACCTATTTCTCAGAGCAGCAAGCGAAAAATAAATATTTAGTTTTCTTACCCACCCTAATATACACATACATGTACTTTTAACCGTGTAAGCGGTGTCTACGCCAACGAAGAAGAAGAGTTACATATGTATACATATATGCTTTATTTTATTTTTAATACTGATACTCAAATACTTTCAAAACAAGTTGACCACTTCAGGATATTGGTTATCGCTCTTTTTGATATTAATTCATATATGAAAAGCAATCATATTATATCCTCTTCTGCTTTAAATGCAAAGGCTTTCAGTGCCTTTAAAGTTTTTAATTCAAAAACGAAAAAATATTTTGTAACATTTAAGTTGTAATTCCTATCCTTTTCTTTGCAGGAATCAAAGCCAGCTGGGAAGAATGGTGGACATATGATGGCATATCCGGTAAGTAAGGCTAAAACTAATTCCAGTAAGTATAGTTTTCAAAAGCATTTCTGAGCTGAAAATTAGAGCTTTATTAAGCCAACTTTTGAAAAATTATAAAACTTTTGCTGTAGATATGAAATTAACAAAAAAAAAAAAAAACAAGTAAGGAAGCGCTAAGTTCGGGTGTCACCGAAAATTTTATACTCTCGCATGATAAAGTGATAATCGAGATTTCATTGACCGCCATTTACATATTTTTTTTATTTTGCTGTAAAATTAATTAAATTAGATCAATTTGTATTGTACTTTGAGTACTGAATTGTATTTTCATTTATTTTAACTGTATTGATTTACCGATATTTTCGGTGAAAAATTATTTTAGGTTAGGTTAGGCACTGAGTTCTTCGTGTTCGATATCAGGGACCTTGAAAAGTTATAGTCCGATCACGACAATTTTTCCACAAGGCATACCTCGGCTCGAGTACCGTATTTGTGTAAAGTTTTATTCCTCTATCATCATTGGTTCCTAATGTATATACGAGTATTATACAGAGAAGGCATCAGATGGAATTCAAAATAGCGTTATATTGGAAGAAGGCGTGGTTGTGAACCGATTTCACCCATATTTCGTACATGTCATCAGGGTGTTAAGAAAATATTACATACCGAATTTCATTGAAATCGGTAGAGTAGTTTCTGAGATATGGTTTTTGGTCCATAAGTGGGCGACGCCACGCCCATTTAAAATTTAAAAAAAAAAAGCCTGGGTGTAGCTTCTCTCTGCCATTTCTTCCGTAAAATTTAGTGTTTCTGTCTTTCTTTGTTAGTCGGCTCACGCACTTTTAGTGATTTTCAACATAACCTTTGTATGGAAGGTGGGCGTGGTTATTGTCCGATTTCTTCCATTTTTGAACTGTATATGGAAATGGCTGAAGAAAACGACTCTGTAGAGTTTGGTGGACATAGCTATGTGATATGTACAAAAAACTTAGTAGGGGGCGGGGCCACGCCCACTTTTCCAAACAAATTACGTCCCAATATGCCCCTCTCTAATGCGATCCTTTGTGCCAAATTTCACTTTAATATCTTTATTTATGGCTTAGTTATGACACTTTATAAGTTTTCGGTTTTCGCCATTTTGTGGGCGTGGCTGGGGGCGAATTTGACCCACCTTCGAATTCAACCTTCCTATGGAGTCTAGAAATACGTGTCTCAAGTTTCATCATGATATCTCAATTTTTACTCTAGTTACAGCTTGCACGGACGGACAGACATCTGGATTTCAACTCTACTCGTCACCCTGATCACTTTGGTATATATAACCCTATATCTGACTCTTTTAGTTTTAGGACTTACACACAACCGTTTGTGAACAAAACTATAATACTCTCCTTAGCAACTTTGTTGCGAGAGTATAATAAGCTCACATTTCAATTCATGCGATCATAACTGAAAAAATATTACTCATATAACTCGCCCGAAATTAAAGCTGTGTAAAGCAGCAACACTTTTTAATAAAGTTATGTGGAGTAATATTAGTTAACTGATCGGAAAATAAATTTATTCCAACACTTGTAAATACGAAACTATTTTTCTATCTAAACAACTCAATTCCCCACATACTATATATGCATTTATGCAAAATATACAAAGAATTATGCAATTCAATCAATTAGAAGTGTCAATATGTTCAAAGTCCATTGCACTTTGGCGCTTTCAGTATCGTGTTGTATCTACAGATTTCCACAAATATATCTATACATATACATATATGTAGTGGCTTTTTGACGAACTCGCTGTCGCCTACGTTCGCGCACATTTCATAAAATCAATTAACATCAATCCAAAGTGACAGTTATTGAGAATAATCATAACCTGCACGTGCAGCAACATAAATTACCAATCAAACGGGACAACGCGAAAACGCGCGGCGAACATTAGCTGCTCCTGTACACAACCCATTCAACGTTATGGGTATGAATGAGGTATAAGTACCCACTTATTTCAATTATTGATTAAAAAACAGGTTACTGGTTGCTAAACAAGTAATTAATGACCAAAATCATTGAATTAAAAAAAGGTACACCATGTTTAATGGTTGTGTTATATCGTTGAAAAATTTAAATAATAGTCTTTCTATATTGTTTCACAAATATTAAAAAATATTTCTCCAATAAAAATTAAAACAAGAAAAAGCGTTAACTTCAGTTGCACTGAAGTTATAATATCCTTCAGAAATACAAAATATTTTTTATTAGAACTTTAATCGGTCAGCTTGTACGGGTGATCCGAGTAGCGGTACTTTTTCCAATAGCCTCTTTTTTAACATATCAGTATTGTTTGGCATTTTATTATGCTTGAAAAACGTTTACAAATCGTTGAAATTTATTATGCAAATTCACCCATCTTGAGACCCAGCATACATTATTGGATAATATTCTACCGAATAGACCGCGTCTACCACGCACTGAAGAAAATACAGCAGTCGTAGATGAAGGTTGGTATCCAGCTTTCAAGTAATTGCTCAAGAAAAAAAATACATTATTTCTTCAAGTAATTTTGACGGCTGGTTGCGCATTGTGAATGATCCACAATAGAAGAGCAAGAGAGAATGAACGAAAGAAAATAAACTTTTTGCGTAATATCTATGCATGTATATGTGTTGTAACATAAATTTTTTCATTGCGATTTAAGGAATGTCATTGATGATTGGTAAGTTTTATACAACATTTCGAAAAGAAATATACTTCATAATAATGAATTTAACTAGTTTAGGATGAATTTAACGATTGAACGAACTTTGAATTTCCTTCAAGAAACAATTGTTGATTTGATGTTTCTTCGCAAAACCAAGTTTGCCATATTCGCATTTTATTGATAAAATGTATTAAACATTAGTACTAGATTACTTTAGAGCTGCATACTAGCACAAGTAAATTTATCGCTGGAAAGTTACTTGACCGTTTCTTGAGCGTTTTTTTATATGAAGTTTTTACATTTCTTGAGAGCTGGATACTAAGCTTGAGAGTGTACACGAAGACCGTGGTGAGTTGAGTCACAACAACTCGGACTGATGCATGGACTTGGACTTGGCGTATTTTACGTCGAGATCTTAAATTGAAAGCGTAAAAAATATAGCTCGTGCAAGAACTGTGTTCTTAAAAAGCAGGGTTCCTCAAAATGTATCACCCTTTATATTAGACAAATGCGACCAACTATACAGTGCTACTAAGAAACCCCTCTGAAGATATGGTTAACAAGTGATCTAAGTTCGATATCCGTTCTAAAACACATCTCGCCTGATGGCGACAAAACTCCGATAGCCATAGGTTTTTCTTGTACTTAGACGTTCGAAGCTTGAAACTCGTAGATAATCTCTATTGTTGTATAAGCCGATAAAGTTTCCAAAGCTCTGGAACAGTTGAACGTTCTCTGTAGCATAGCTGATTTGGATACAACATTTCTTACGTGTATTTAGATTGCAACTAAGTGAAAAAGATAAATTCAGAAATAATATAAACTTTAAGAAAGCCGACACTATTGCCATAAAAAGTAGAATTTATTGTAGGCCACAGGGTGACTGCTTGTAAATTTAAAGCCCGCGACAGAAATCAAAGTGCAATAATAAGCGCGGAAACTTTGAAATTGTTGCATACAAGATTGTTGTATGCACCACAAACGCCACCCACTGCGACATTCCGCCCGCGCTATGTGCAGCATAACGGTATTCTAAGCGACTGACTTAACCGCATTTTGACAAGTCACTCCAACTGCCTACACCCCCCTTTGGTTGCAAATACAAGTGACTATTTGTGATACTTGCCCATCTATAAGCTTGTGTATATGTGTGTAAATTTGTCTGTATGTATGAAGGTATACTCGTATAGGTATTGAGTTTGTTAGTGCACTTGTAGTTGCATTTGCCACAATTGAGCTAAGCCGCAACTGAATTGACTGAGTGACATGTGACCTGTCGGGAAGTTTGCGTGCAGACAAAAATTATTTGTTTACCTATTTGTGTGTGTGTGAGGTGTACAGGTGAAACAACCAACACAGCACGACAGGTGGGCCATGTGGGAGGAGAATGCAGCGACTGACGAAAATATGAGCGACAAACGTCGACTGAATCGTATAGAAATGACAGCTGGATATGCGTGCAATGAATAAAAAAATTTATATTTCCGCTATAAAAGTACAAAAATGCATTTGTGAAAATTCAGTGAAAGGCCGGTTAATGTTTCGTATATATAAAGGGTTCTCGAAAAGGGATGTGTCGATAGCTTGAGAGAACACTTTCGAGCTCGTGAGTTAAATATTTGAAATCAGCAAATTTTAAAATTATTTACCACACCACAAGCTTTGACCAAAGTCGTCACGAAGAACACCTAACAAGAGAAACCACTGAGGGGAAGACACTTATAATGTGTTTGGTCTACTGTTTATCTTAGGAACTAAAACCACTTTCTCCTCCAGATAGCTGAAAGTTGACCAACAAATATTGGTAACAATAGAAAGAGGACATATGTAGAAGACCAACTCAGCCCAACTGCAGAGCCCTATTTGGCCGAGTTGCACTCAACTATAAGCATTATAGCGCCAAGCGTTCGCAATGCTTCACTCGTTGCTTTCCATTTACGCGCGCGTTCACTTTGATGGCATCGGATAGAATAGAGCAGAGCTTTTCATTCACCTAACTTTTGTCAACGAAGTTGGGAGTTAGCGGTGTTGCTAGCAAATTGCGGTTCGTGGCCTGCAAATCCGGCAACTGACATTGGATAAACTTCCGCACAGTGAGTGACTGACTTTCACATTGCCGCCTTGACATGTGCGCCATTGAATTTGCCATTGACTGCATTTAAACTGGAAGTAATTAAAAGTGCTTATTTAAAGGCGCCGATTTAATTCACGCTGGTAAAATATATAAATTAGTACTCCCTTTTAGGACCATTGTACTATATATGTACATATGGGACATATATATGCAGTGATATGCAAGAATATAGCATGTAAAATGAAGCTCTTCTGAAGGATATGGGAGTTTCGATCGAAATGGCTGTTTGAATTAGCGTGCAGAAGAGAACATTTTTTTCGAAATATTTTGCGAATCTTTCTATACAATTTCAAGTTTTTAAAATATTTTTCTTTCCTAATTGACCTAAAAAATTTGTGTGAGTCCACAGCCGGCATTTCATCTTTGTCTGTAACAGTGGAAGCTTTGTAGTCATATGATCCAAATCGTATCTAAGCCCTCCGATAGTAGGCACGTCTAAGACATAAGTTGGTTGTATTTTTTCTATCGAGATTCATTTTAACGAGTATAGTTATGTAGGTAGGTAGGTAGGAGTGCAGTCCTGTTATATTTCGGGTTTAATTAGCACCAGCTGCGTCAATTTGACGCGCTAGTCGTAGATCTTCTGCTTTCGATGAAGCTACTAATATGCTTTTTGTCCATTCATTCCATCCATTCAAGGTCTGGTGCTTGATGGATTCCAAGTGTCGGATCTGCGATAGGGCTGAGCATTCACAGAGGAAGTGGAAAATTGTTTCCTTGTTGTAGGGTATACCCAAGTACCAACGCATGCAAATACTTTTCCTGGAACTATTTAATAAGTCGCTAGTTCTTTATCTGTCATATTTTGACAATAACGGTTTAGTTATATTGCGTTTTGTTATATTTTGCTTCTGCTGTTTGCTAATTGTTGAAATTGTGTATTGAGCTCTTTCCTGATCGATCCTAGCGGGCTGCCAGATTCTAAAAGAAAAGCTCCTGCCTTTGCCAACTAATCTGGTTTATTTGTTGCCAAAAATGTTCCCGTGGCCGGGAACTCAGATCTAGTTTAGGTAGAGCTTGTCCTCTAGTGAACTCAGTGCCTCTTGCAGTTAGGGACTACGCTAGAAAAAATCATAGACGGCGATCAGGCCTATCTTGTTCCTTTATATACTCGTATCCTCTCGTACTTATTCAATAAAGCTTCGACTTCTCTATGCCCAGTACTTACGTTTGGAAGATGTTAGGCTACCTAGTTCGGTAGACGGATGGAGAGAGAAATGTCCAGATCGAAATATTTTCCCGCGTCTACTCCGCAGTCGGCTGCTTGACCATTGATCTCTAGTCAGTTTTAATACTTAAACAGTTTATTTTACTTTTGTGTACTCGCAGTGAGACTTCAACTTGTTTAGAGGCATTTACTTTTCTAAGACCTAAAATATTTCCACTGTTGTCTTCTTTTTTGCTTCAAGTGAGTTATGGAACTAGCTTATTGATTAGATGCGGTTCGACAAACCAAGAATATAACAGCTCTTTCAATTTAATTATTTGTAATGCTATAAATCAATAACTAAATTATTTTTATTATTATTTCAATTGTATAGGACCAAGTTTTTGGGGCCTTATCAATCCACAATGGAATATGTGCAACAAAGGGCGGCGCCAGTCACCAATAGACATAGTGCCCGACAAATTACTCTTCGATCCATATTTGCGGCCATTGCACATCGATAAGCACAAGGTAAGATTAATTTTAAAGTTATGGAAAATCGTAAATATATTCAGGCACATATTTAGAATTAGTTGAAGTTCCACATTTCAACCTGGTTGGGTTACCACAATTCACAATTCACGTTATGTCATAAACTCGAGACTAAGCGTCTCACTTTATTGTACAACAAGGTGGCATTTCCAGCAATATCAAAAACCGAATTGTGCTCGTACCAAAATATGCAGACTTTTATAGCTAGGTTAACTCATATAGCATTCATGCTAACTTTGAAATTTTGTTAGTAACGCTCCTTACTAATTCGTCACTAGAACACATTTGGAGTATAAACATTGTGATATCATTTCTCTTTTTGTCCTTTTCCACAAAGTGAAAGACATACTGTCTACAAACAGACACACAACCCACTAATCGTTCAAAAACCATGTGTACAATCAATATCTCAAAGTCTTCTTTTTTCTTTTTTTTCAAATTTTCGTTGCATCGCTTGCTGTCTGCCTGCTCGCTCGACTGGCTGATTGTTTGAACGCTTTACTTTTTTGACTGATTCGGTGGTTGACTCTTTGGACTGACTGTTTGTTTGTTTGGCTAACCGGCTGCTGGTGGTCTTGGCTCGTCGGTTCGTTGGCTCGTTGGTTGGCTGTTATCGCACAGGTTTCCGGTACACTACACAACACAGGTCAATCGCTCGTCTTCCGCGTCGACAAGGACACAAAGCAGCCGGTGAACATCACTGGCGGCCCACTTGCCTATCGCTATCAATTCGAGGAGATTTACATACACTACGGCACTGAGAACAGTCGGGGGTCAGAGCACTACATACAGGGCTACAGTTTCCCCGGCGAGGTAAGTACACACATATATGTAAATGAAACACCCGACAACTACTGACAGTTGACAGTTGACTAGTGACAACTTGTTGGCTAACGCAAGCATTTTTCACTTTACCGCTAATCCATGCAAACTCTCTTTCTGCTTCCACAGATACAAATCTACGGCTTCAACAAGGAACTCTATCACAATATGTCCGAGGCGCAACACAAGTCACAGGGCATTGTGGCGCTCTCGCTCATGGTGCAAATTGGGGACACGCCAAACCCCGAACTGCGAATTATTACCACCACTTTCAACAAGGTTTTGTACCGAGGTAAGTGTGTTGAATTTCTGTTTGTGTAGCAGAATCACACAGCGGGGGTGCTGGAGTGTGTGTTTGGATTTCAAATGTCAACGACATGCACTTCAAATGCGATTCCAAGCTCAGTTGTGTGTGTGTGTGTGTGTGCGTGGCGAAAAAGAAATTAACAAGACATGGAAGTTATTTCCGGTCAACAAAGTGCAAAGGCGAATCAAATACGAGTGCGAACGAGTGCAAGCATTCGCCCTGCAGGGACACCGCAAGCAAGTCCAGAGAACAGCGGAGGGCGTGGGTGCGCAGAGGTCGGCGCCAAATATAGGCCGGCCGGCAGCAGTTATTATTTCTACAAGCTGTTTTACTTTTCCATTTCTCGTCGCTTAAATCATCAATATGGCGAGCCTCTACCGTCCAGAACGACAGCCATTACGAACCGTAAAAGAGCCGCGTCTCAGTGTTGGCGACCGGCAGCGCGCAATCAAACAAGCCGGCTTTTAAAGGAAATAAAACAGTAAAAGCAAATCAAAGCCACAATTCTATGCATGTTTGCACGTTTTCATTTGCCCTTTTCGCGGTTCAAAGCACCCACAATAATAGCAACAACAAGCGTGTCGCACGCGCGCTCAAAGCTTATGTCTCGTCGACGACCGTCTTAATACTCGCTTACCACCTTCGAGTCGGCGCAAAATTATGCGCTGCCAAATGCAATAAAAACGCCCGCTCATAATATAATAACAGGGCAGCAACAATTGCAATTGCCACTCGGCCTTCCGCTGTGCATTTCGCCACTAAAATGGCCAGCAAGGCCACAAGTCCAGCTGGTTGCCCGGCGCCTCGCGTCATTTGAAGGTGCCAGCGTTGCCTCGGCACAATAAAGTGAAAAGTAAAAAGGAACAAGTGAGAAAAGCCAATCAGTGGTAATAGTCGGCCTGCTGCTGTTGGACTTGCAATAAATTCAAAAGGTAAGGTGGCAGTTAAATTTTTCCCTAKCAGCAATCGCGCAATACGGAACCGTCACGCCAGGCACCTTCGAGGTGCGATCGCGTGGCGGGAAAATGGTGCTGCGAAGAAATCGCCGCTCGAAATGGACAAGGGTTACAAGTGTAAAAGCGCGCAAATAAATAAAAATAGAAACCGAAACTAAAAATAGGATTATGAGTAGAAAAATTAAAGCCAAAAAGCGATAGTACTATGTGTGGACGAAAATTTACCGCTACCATTTAAAAAATTGTGTATGGCAATAACTTGAAGTGACTTACGTAGTCGCAAGATCTAGTTTCAGATCTCCAGACGACTGCTCTGACATTGAAGTGGAGTTCACTCGCCGGCAGAAATGTGGATATTCACTGTGATACCAGAACGGTAATAACGGTCTTAAGCTCGCTTACGCTCTGTTTGTCTGTTTGAAACTACTTCGCAAAAGGTTATTCTAATAGGTCAATGAGCCATGCACAAACCAGTTTTGGTCCTAGTAATACCAGATGGAGTTCAGATACTAGGTGCATGAGGAGTAGTCATCCTTTAGGATGCCTGCGATTGCCGCAAGATTATGTGGCCTCACTATCGATACATCCTCTAATGAATCATACTGTCGGGACTCCAGATGCTTACAGCGTAGTCTTGTCGAAGCGGGGCAAGTGGACAAGACTCCATTGTTTCATTGGTGCCCCGTTCTAGGCGTTTCCTGCAGTTTTCTCGATCTATCAACCCCATTCTGCAAGCGTATGTTGCCACCAGACAGTAACCAGTTTGAATTCCGATCATGTTCCTATAGTCTTTTCAATCGAATGCCAATAGGAACTTTGAGTACTTCCGATCTACCGTTTTCAAATGTCAATCGCGGCTACATCTCAGAGGAGTCCAATTTTCGATGACTCGTACGAACAATTCGACTGGTTAGTGGCGAATGACACGCGTAATGTTTTATTTCAAGCATAGACTTAAGACTTTACATATCTCCACAGGAAAAATTCTAACTCAACAAAAAGTGAACCAAAATAATATTAAAGCTTGATACGACTCACGCGTGATCTGTCAAGGAATGGCTATTGAATAAAGTACTTGGGTCGCCTGTTATAACTAAACTGGGAATGCTTTGGAACGTCCTCTTGAGAGCGCTGGCGAATCTTAGGATAGGACGCTAGAGGTGCACCGGACTCTTTACCGTTATCTAAGCTAATTTAACTTTCTAGTATTGGTTTTAAGCGGACAATGCCCAAGAATCATATATGAAATGAGGATAAAAATTTGACAGACGCCAATTTTCTGTGGAGATAGAAATATTTCAAGACTATTTCTGCTAGACTGTCCAGCTTGCCTTAGACTAAGGTTGAAACAACTTTGATATCAAATCATAAATCAGTATAAATCAGCAAATTTTGAAATTAAGCGAGCAATAGTTTTCTAAAAGGCTCAAATCGCTTCTTAAACATATGGGGATTTCTAGGTTTTGAGCTTAAGAGGGTTTGTAAAAGATCTGTGATTCATTACCTATTAAATTTTTGGTAGATAATTGCTTCATATATGTATATAGTGGTATATTATTTTCCAATTAAATTGTCATGGAATCACAAACCTGATATCAATTGACCTCGTCATCGTGATTTCTAATTCGGTCATAATGTATATCGTCACTTAAAATGCAAAACAGCGTATCATCAAACGAAGGCGTATCAAAATCGCTGGCAGATATAATAACCAATATATAACCATTTTATAACCGTTTTATAACCAAAACTCAAATTGTTTTTAAATTTTTGTAGTTTGTATGTTATGTGTGTATGAAAGCAACAGTCAGAATAAAAAAAAAAATCTTAAATAAAACTATCTTCCTTTTCAATAACCAAAAATTGTGTTCCTTTTTAGGGTTTTCCACACCCATCAGGCACATATCAGTGCGATCACTGTTGCCAAATACGGATCACTACATCACGTACGAAGGATCCACAACGCATCCTGGTTGCTGGGAGAGCACCGTTTGGATAATTGTAAACAAACCCATTTATATCACAAAGCAAGAGGTGAGCACATTACCTTTGACCACACTAAAACTACACTAGTGCGATAATTAACTAAATATGTATCAAATTTACGCTAAATTTAATCATTTTGACGTAAGCTTCGGCAAAACCAAGCGGCCAATAAAAATATTCGCATGTGTGTGTGTGTGAATGCGTCAATACGTTATGAAGGCATAATTACAACCTAATTGAACTTAATTAACCGCATCAGCGAATTTGTTTATTTCGGTGGTTAAATTACAAATTGAATTCTGCGTATAATTTTAATTGCAGAAATAAATGCGAACTTACAACTTGGTGTGTGTGTACATAAGTACGGTTAGTGGCGACATTAATCGAACAAATGCAGTTATTTGGTATCATACTTAATACTATATTATTTACTTTATTCAAATTTCAGCTCTGGTTCAATAATTTAACTGTTTTTTAAGCTTGCTGGAGGTAGCCAAGCTTACTAATGGATTGCTTTGCCTACTGTCACTCTGCTCAGCCATGAGGGTCAGCCTATTATCCAATGAAAAAATTTTATCCCTTTGATCTCTTGGCCGATCTCCTGGAATATCTCCGAAAAACGGTGTCAGGCGATGATAATGATTTCTCTGCTCAAAGTATTTTACATCCAAACCGAAAAAGTGACTATTCCAAAAGAATAGATGTTATGATCAAATAGTTCTTCTTCTTCTTCTATACTGGCGTAAATAACGCTTACGTGGTTGCAGCCAAATTAACAGCAGCGCACCAGGCGTTTCTTCTTTTCGCAAGGTGGCGCCAATTGGCGATTCCAAGCGAAGCCAGGTCCTTCTCTACCTGGTCCTTTCTACGGAGTGGAGGTCTTCCTCTGCTTCCCCCGGCGGGTACTGCGTCGAGTACTTTCAGAGCTGGAATATTTTCGTCCATTCAGACAACATGACCTAGCCAACGCAGCCTTATCTTTTACTTCGCTGAAATATGTCAATGTCGTCGTATATCTCATACAGTTCAACGTTCCCTCGAATGCGATATTCGCTATGGCCAACGCGTAAAGGTCCATAAATCTTTCGCAGAACCTTTCTCTCGAAAACTCGTAATGTCGACTCATCAAATAACGTATCGTCCATGCCTCTGCACCATATAGCAGGACAGGAATAATGAGTGACTTTACTTCTCAATTGCCTACTCATCCCATTGGCAAGAGATATTCAGCGTTGAATTACGAACCGGTAATTTTTGATGCTGTTAATACTGGTTCCAAGTTGGACGAAAAAGCTCAAAGTTATGACTATCAACAGTGAATTGGGAGCGAAGTCGGTAGTTAGAAAACTGTTTGCTTGATGACGGAATATATTTCGTCTTGCTCTCTTTCACTACCAGATCCATTTGCTTGGCTTCTTTATCCATGAGACCAATGATATCAATATCATCGGCACACGCCAGCAGTTGTACACTCTTGTAGAAGATAGTACCTTCCCTATTTAGTTCTGCAGCTCGAATTATTCTCTCCAACAGCAGATTAAAGAAGTCGCACGAAAGGAAGTTGTCCTGTCTGAAATCTCGTTTGGTATCGAACGGCTCGGAGAGGTCCTTCCCGATCCTGACGAAGGTTTTGCTATTAGTTTTGTGAGATATCAAATCCATACATCGCGGCATAAATACAGTGCATCTTTAAAATCGACGACGAGGTAGTGTGTGAAGATGTTATTTTCAGGGTTCTTGTTGAAGATTTGGTTGCTGATGAATATCTGGTTAGTTGTAGATTTTCCAGGTCTAAAGCCACACTGATGAGGTCCAATCAATTTGTTGCCACAATGCGCTCGATAGAACCTTATTTGCGATGTTTAGAAGACATATCCCACGATAGTTGGGGTAGATCGTGACGTCTCCCTTGTCTTTGTGGATTGTGCAGAGCACACTTAATTCCCAATCATCGGGCATGCTTTCGTCCGACCATATTCTACAAAGAAACTGATGTATGCTCCTCATTAGTTTTTCGCCACCGTGTTTGAATTCAAGCACGATACTTTATATCACCAAATCGCAAAATATCATCGAAGTACTTTCCCTTTCAGCCGAAAATTTCTTGATCCAATAAATGCGTAACTGGCGTAATTATGTATGTTTATATGTATTTTTAATGTACATAACTGTAAAGTGGTATTTAATTGAAACGTTCTGGTCATCTGCCTTTTTCGACAATATGCAAGCAAACCTTTTTGCAATGAATAAGAGATGTGAATGCAGGCGGTGAATCGAACAGTTGCGTCCATTTTCGTTCGCGGCCAACCCAAGTGGTAGCCTGTAGTGTATATGCGGTGGTATGTAGAGCAGTGTGTTCACTTTCACCACATCGCTGGCGCTTAATATAAACGTAATTACGTGTTAAGTGCTTGTAATTTGTTTAAAGCATTTTATTGCAGATTTTTTCATACTTTCACACAACAATTACAATTTCAATAATGTTTACAATCAACAAAACACACACATATACACATGCTTATTCAAAAATACTGCCCAATCCACACACACAGACGTGTTTAAATCCAAATTAAGTTATTGGCAAAAAGTCGCTGTTGAGTGTAGGCCGATAAAAGCTCAAAATTAAATATTTACACTCTCGGAAGTGATTCGGGAGGCTCGAAAAAAACCATCGTAATGAATAAATTATGCGCCTAACGAAGCAATAAAAAATTTAAATAATTGTGTGTGAGTATTATTTGCTTTAAAAATCCATATGTGTGCCACATAATTTACTTTTAAGTTGACTTAAATGCTTGCAACTCTACTTTAAACCTTAATTTATTTAAACGTGCTGTTTAAACAAATTACTAGTTGTTTGCTTTACTATACTATACAATAATTTTGTTATAAAGTTCAGTTGAGATTATAGAAAGTGTAACCTTAGATGTGAGTTCACCAACTATTAAAGGCATTGGCGTTTATTCGAGCCGTAGGTAAGAGCTGCGTATGGAACGACTTGCGGAGCTTACGGCGAGATCTTAAATTGAAAGCGTACAAAATGTAGCTTAAGCAACAGCTGAAGCCGCTCGACCATACTAAGGGGCATCGCTTCGCTCTATGGGCTCTTGAAAAGTTCCAAGAAGATCCGATGTTTTCGAGCCAAACTTTATTTAGGGGTGAGGCCATTTCTGGCTCACTGGATATGTAAACTAGCAAAAGACGAACCTGAAGAGATTCTGCCATTTCACAAAGAAAAACAACGGTTTAGTGTATTTTATTTTTATTTTTTATAATGCCTGAAATTGAAACTCATGATCTCGACGACATTTGGTTTCAACAAGACGGCCGCCACTTTCCACATATCGTATCAATCAATTGATTTATTGAGGCAGCACTTCGGTGAGAGGATAATTTAGACTTTTTCATGTGCGAATAAGTAAATTCTAAAGTCTATGTACCTCGATTCAGGCCTTGGAGTAAAGTATCATGCGTGTCATTCGCCAATTCGAACGAGTAATCGAAAATTGGAATCAACGAATGGTCCATCTGAGACGTAGCCACAGCCAACTTTTGGGAGAGATAATCTGCAAAAAGTAAATGTCAAAGAATGTTCTTTCGAATGATAACAAGCATTCCCCATTCAATTCGAATTTTCTGTGTTTTTTGTTCAAAATAGTAGAGAACTTCGAAATGCATCACCCCATAAATAAAACACTGTTAACAGAAATTACATTAAGTTTGTCACGAAGTTTGTAACATCCAGAGTAGGAGAGGCTCTAAATTGCATATATAATTGTTCAGCGTGACGCGCTGAGTTGATTTAGCAAAGTGCGTTTAACTCTCCTTTTGTCCGTCCGGGTAAAGCGTAGTATAGCTCCGATACTTTTTTTATTTTTGAGAGAGAAATTTAGGCATAAAATTGCTTCTCTTAAGAATTTAACCATGAAAATTATTTTCAAAAATAATGCTAAACTTACTTCTTCCTCTTGATTGCAGTTGTACCAACTCCGACGACTGATGCAAGGCTCCGAGAGTACACCGAAAGCGCCACTAGGCAATAATGCGCGTCCCGTGCAAGGACTACACCATAGAACCGTAAGGACAAATATAGACTTTAAGCGTAATAAGGTGAGTAAGGCAACAACTAAAAATCAACACACAAATAATGCGATAAGCAATTTTAAAGAAAAACTGCAATGAAATATTAATGCAACTGCCACGATTTACTTGCCTCTCTTTGCAGAATCAAAACTCATGTCCGACCATGTACAAGGACATGTATTACCGAGCGAATCGCTGGTCACCGGACACCGGCTTATTGATTCGTTGACCCAACACAGGGCACATGCAAATAAATTACAATAATATTAATAATAATAACAATAATGGTAATGGTAATGGTAATCATAACGTGAGTAACTGTAACAGTATTGGTGGCATCAGCAACTACATTTGCGATAAGTGTAAAGACAACGGTAATAAACACTACGCCACGCATGCGTACAACCACGGCAGTAACTGTGAATATAACAACAACAAAAACAACAACAGCGGCATCAGCATTGGGGCGCTGAGAGATTGCCGTAGTATGCCGAATAATTATGAACGCAGCATTTGCGGTCAGAATTGCAGCTGCAACAACAACAGCAACACGGCAACAAGTGACAACTTTAATTGTGGCAACAATGGCACACGCCAAACACCAGCAATATGTTCGAGCGCTGCGGCGAGTGTCGGCAATTTGCGTGCAGCAATAAATGTGCGCGATAATAATCGAATTCGTTATTACGGACACCGAGCGGTGCGCGGCAGTCGCGAAGATAGCCGCAAAGCCGCACCGAATGCGCCAATGCGGCAGCTGCAACTGTTGCTGCCACTTTCCGCGCTGCCCAGCGCGCGCTCCGACTTCGCGCTTTTCCACGCTTAATTTCGCACATTTGTCATTATTGTGCCGATACGCACACAAATGCAGTTATCCGCAGCACACACTCACATACATACATGTATTTTTGTGAGTGTGTGCGTGTATGGTGCATGCCTCGTGTGGAACATATTTAAAGTATTCGTTGCTTTTCGTTATTAAATTAAATTGTAATTCGATTCAGTTTGGCAACACTATGTAAAAAAAAACAAAAATAATTAACAAATTACATACATACATACATACGAATATGTTGTTGCATCAGTTATACTACGCGCAACTCGAAAGCTTCATACATTTAATGGGCGAAAAATATGCAAATAGATCAATACTAACGGGTTATATGCATACCAAGCAACATTTGTGCGCATGTGTGTGCGCATTTGGGTCATTGTATGGCTATGCCGTTACTCCAACACAGAAAATATACAATAATTGTAGCTAAATAGAACTCATAATAATGAATTAATATGCAAACTGTATGGGCGGACAATAACTACAAAATAACTAGCAAAAATTAATTAATGGACACCGTAAATACATATACATACACACATGCATATATAGTTACTTACGAAGAATAAGGAAAAAAAACAAACAAATAAAAACTCTCCAGCAAGCAGAACTCGACACATGCTTATATACTCAATAAATCTACTCATTAGTCAAAACTATAATTATGTATAATTAACCGCTTCTGCTTCACTCATACTCACTATCACCTATACAGCAACGGCAATAAAAGCTAATGCCTGAATTCATTAAGTCATGTATTCATTTTATAGCCCTAATCTAACTAGGTTATGAGTAGTGTTACCGTTACTTCAAAATCTGTTTTATTTCTCGTTTAGACCAACATAAAACCGCTGGTAAAAAAATATACGAAAAAATCCGACCAAGTTTTTAAGTGTGGTGGAATTCAGATAGTTAGACAGTGACAGCTTGATAATTCAGTGATTAAATAAACAAATAAGAAATGTTTTATGTCACAGCACTATCGATAACTGCAGGCTAAATGTAAATACTTTCCAGATGATGGAACCATTCTTCACTCTCTTCGCTAACTAGTTTTCTCTATTGAAACTAGCCAAACGGAACATACAGTGACGAACAAAAGTATTGGCACAGCAAGATACCTTGATTTTAGCATTGGTTTTTACCACTTATAAGATATGTTTTGATTCCAAAAAAAAAGTCCTTAGATAGGACGAGTAATTATCAATTATATTTGTCTTAATTCATTTAATTATCTCTTATATTTATTTAATAGTAATTATAAAAGGAAAAAAAGTGTTAATTATAGCGAAACAAAAGTATTGGCACACTCCATAAAAATACAAAAAAACAATAACAAAGTAGTGAACTATATATAAAATTAATATTTTGTGGCCAAGCCCTTTTGCTTGATGACTGCTTCCAGCCGGTTTGGCATTGATGATACCAATTTTTGTGTCGTTTCTGCACCAATATTCTGCCATTCCTCCATTAGTGCCACCTTCAACTCAGCTTTTGTTGATACTGCTCTCTTCTTAACTCGCTTATCTAGTTCTTCCCACAAATGTTCTATTGGGTTAAGATCGGGAGATTGAGGGGGATGCGGTAATGTATGTTTTATGTGATGTGCCAGCCACATGCGTACATCATAAGCCGTATGCTTCGGGTCATTATCGTGTTGAAATGTGAATGATTCTGGCAATTTAAATTTTTCGCCATTTTTTTTTACATTTCTCTTCAGAATTTCCATATAATATTTTTTGTCCATAATGCCGTCTATGAATTCCAGCTCACCGACATCTGCAGCGGACATACAACCCCACACAATTACCCATCCACCGCCATGTTTTACAGTAGCAGCAAGGTTCTTTTTTTGCAGTTCGGTGTTAGGCTTTCTCCACACAGTTTGCCGACCATCAGATTGAAATATATTGAACTTACTCTCGTCTGAGAAGAGTACACTGTCCCAAAAGTCCCTAGGCTTGCTTATGTACTCCTTCGCATAAGCTAATCGCTTCGTTTGGTTCGTATTCGAAATGAGAGGTTAACGTCTAGCTACGCGAGAACTGTAATTAGCTTCATGCAGCGTCCTCCGGACCGTTATTGGATATCTTTTCCATCTCTTCTTTAACTTCCGCAGCCATTTGTGTGGATGATATTCTGGGGTTCTTTTTTACCTTCCTGACTATTTGACTACGTTCGCGATCACTTAAAGCCTTGGTCTGCCTGTTCGTTTTTCGCTTTGTAAAGATGCAGTATCTTTAAAACGTTGAATAATACTCCGTATGGTATATCGGCTTCTGTCCATCATTTCACCAATCTCGGCGTACGATTTACCCTGATTATGCAAATATAATATTATTTTCCGCTGAGATTCGTTGGTTTCACATTTTTTGCTCCCCATTTTAATAAAATGAAAGCAAATTGAATTATTAAATAAAGGCACACTGAGTTTTAAAGTTTGATTCTTTCCAAAAACCCATTTGCTTATGTATAAATAACGGCACTTTAAAAAAGAGTTGCCATAATTAATAAAAATTACCCGAAGTTGCCTTATTTTATATGCCATGTGCTCATACTTTTGTTTCGCTATTATTAGCATTTTTTTCTTTTATAATTACTATTAAATAAATATAAGAGATAATTAAATGAATTAAGACAAATATAATTGATAATTACTCGTCCTATCTAAGGACTTTTTTGGAATCAAAACATATTTTATAAGTGGTAAAAAACAATRCTAAAATCAAGGTATCTTGCTGTGCCAATACTTTTGTTCGTCACTGTATATTTCAAAGTTATTGTCATAATATGTGGACTTGCTTTAGTTTTGGTTTAGTATTTTTTGTTCTATGTAACTTTCACTTTAACAGACGTTCGATTTGTAAACTCAAATTAGAAAAGTAATCCGATTCACCTGCAGTATTTGAATCGAATAAAAAATATACTTCTGGTGTCTTTCTAATTTTCTTAGTAACACTTTTAGCGGTAACTCCTAAATCTTAGTGCTCAGTAATAGCAAAACTTTCAAAAATATTTACTTTAAAAGGAAGATGATTCCATCACTTGTTTCTATTAATTTAGGAGGTTTTTAATAATGCACCTTACATTTCGCAAGGATATCGGCGACTACTAAGATGATGGAAACAGAATTGAGGTTGACTCCAATAACATAAAGAAACTGCTGCGCAAAGGGAAGGGAGTAGACAAAGAAAGTTATTGGCAACAAGCAACAGATATGCTCCACAATCGCATTCTACACTGAGAACTGCAGGCTCAAGAAACACTTGTCCAACATAGGCATAATCTCTTGTGCAAACTGCCAGTTTTGCGCTATGAAACCACAAACTTTTGTTCAGCATTATATAGACGCAGGCTTAAAGTGCTTGAAGCCATTCATCTGAATAAGGGTTACATCAAGCTGTAACTTGAGTAAAAATTGAGATATCTTGATGAAACTTGTCATGCGAGAGTATAAAATGTTCGGTGACACCCGAACTTAGCCCTTCCTTACTTGTTTGAAGATTATTTCCTTCAAATGTTGGCCGCGGTTACGTCTCAAATGGCTTAACCGATGACTCCAATTTTCGATGACTCGTTCGAGTATTTGGGCTTTACATATCCCCTCAGGAAAAAGTCTAACGGTGTGATATCACACGATCTCGACCGGCCCAAAACGTGAAATTATCTGCTCACCGACGTGTTCTTCAATAAAACCATTGACTGATGCGATGTGTGGGAAGTGGCACCGTCTTGTTAAAACCACAGGTCGCTGAGATAAGTTGCTTCAATTTCAGGCATCAAATAGTCAGTTAACATGGCGCGATAACGGTTGCCATTGACGATTCTCACCGGCATCTGTTTTGTAGAATGAACCAATGATCCCACTGACCCACAAATCACGCCACACCATAGTTTTTGAGTGAAATTGAGGCTCTTGAAACTTTTCAAGTTGCTCTTCCTCCCAAATTCGACAATTTTGCTTATTTTCATATTCATTGAGCAAGAAATGGGTCTCATCGCTTAACAAAACATCCCATTTTCTTAGAAAATTTTCAAAAGCTCATAGAGCGAAGCGATGTCGCTGTATTTCGTACGCTTTTAATTTAAGATGTCGACGTAAAATGCGCCAAGTCGTTCGATACGTCAGTCCTTGTTGCTGCGAACGGAACCGAATCAACTCTGTGTACACTCTCAGCAATGACTGCTGTATTTTTCCACTGCTGGTCGTAGTTTTTTCGATTAAATATTATTCAGTAATAAATCCTGGGTCTCAATATAGGTGATGATATTGCGAATATTATGTTTTTGCAGCCGATTATGTTGACCATAAGTTGAGCGAAGCGCGCGAACACATTCTCTATAGAAAGTAAATTTTCTTAATAAAGTTGAACGATTTGTAAAAGTTGTTCAGACGTAAGT